TGTTACCTTTTCGATAATGACATTTCATTATCTTCTCCCCGGGTTTACCGATATGTTTGGCACATTCTTTTTCAATTAATTCCAAAACGGATACAAACCCGGACTTTTCCCAGAGGGATAGGGAAAGATTTTCCTTACCGTACTTGTTGTTCTTACTCACTCCGTAAGATAAGCAATCCGTAACCTTTAACAAAAGAGGACCTTGATCGCATGCCGTTAATTTAATCTTTTTAGACCCGTACCTGTTCGCGACGGCATCTTCGAAACCGAACGAGTCCTTGGTGAAGTCCGAGACTTTGGTGATTGACATTTTCCTTTATTATAGATTTTTTTATTCATATAAGGTGTTACGGGTTCACTCAGGTAACGAATCCCAGGAAAGTCTTGGGGATGATCTTGGGAAAGTCTTGGGAACGAATCCTGGAAAGTCTTGGAAAAGTCTTGGGAAATCTTGGGGACGATCTTGGAAAGGTCCCGGGGACGAATCTTTGGAAAATCTTGGGAAAGTCTTGGGAAAGTCTTGGGGACGAATCCTGGAAAGTCTTGGGAACGAATCTTTGGAAAATCACGGGAAAGTCTTGGGGACGAATCCTGGAAAGTCTTGGGGATGGGATTAAAGGGGCTAAAGGGCTGAAGACACTATATTTTGTATTACATGAAGTTTGTCCTCGTAGCCCCTCATTGACACTACTCCCGTAGTTGAGTGTCAGTTCGTAATTGGGACAAAGAGAAGGTGGAGGTTTGATGTTGATTGGGTCTTGGAGGTTGAAAGACAGAGGAGAAACAAGAGTTGAAAAGTTCAGCTTTTGTCTGAAGGTGTTTTTGCCAGTTTGCCCTTGTAGGAAATTGCTGGAGTATGAGTTGATCAATGCTGGAAAACCGCCTTATGATAACTCCAAAATAGCCTTGGGTTGTCTTGAAAAGAGTCCTGAATTTACGTAGCTTATGTTTGCGATAGTCAGTGTGACATTTGCGATATTTCTTTAGGGCAGAGTATTTCTTTTGTATGAAATGCATCACTTCTCCATCAATCCCAGGTGGTGAGTTGGCGTCTTTAACATTTTTTTATGGGAACAAATTTATGAATTGTGTTTAAAAACCAGTCTTTCCACTGCAACCAACATTCATTGAGATTGTCTGATGAAAATGTCTCAAGAGTATTGTGCAGTAAAAAGCTTCGGAGTTCATCAAAGCTTGTGTGAAGATAGTTTTCACACATGTTTGCTCATGCAATACAAACACTGTAGGAACAAATCGTCTGCTTCTTGTTCTACAGCTTCTGCTTTTAGGTCAACTTCGATCTTGTACGGTAAAATCAATAATCATTTAATACGGTTCGACTAAACAAAACAAATACATACAAACTAAGACACTACACTATGAACTAATTGCATAATATGAAATAAAACTTCCCTCTGTTAGAGTAAAGTAAATCATGTCAATAAGTTCAGACGAGAGTTCAGACTTAGATATAGATTCTAAATAATTTCGCAGTCCAAACGAAGTTCAAATGTACTGAACGCATGACTACACATGTTACATAATCACAATAAATTACCATATATACTAAATTAAAATACAATAAAGCCGGAAGCAGGACTTAATGCTACATACCGGCCCCTAAATGTTCATATAACATTTATAACTAAACTGATCGAAAGGACTCAATCAAGTCCACAATAAACTAAAGTTAACACGAATCATGATTAAACTATGTATCGTTATAGAGTGTCATAGTTTCTAAAAATACAATTTTATCAACTGGACGTTCCAGTATCGTAGACTTCGCTTTTAGGGTTACAAAGCCGTCTTTCGTGTTTGGTTTTACTTCTAGGATGCGGCCAAGGGTCCAAGCACATCTTGGTGAATTCTCATCAACTAGCAGTACTATATCACCAGGGGCGAAATTTCTGCGTGACTTGACCCATTTCTGTCATCAAGAGTTTGTTGGATGAGAAGAGCTGTCATAACCTTTCGTACAGTGCGAATGCAGCGCTCCCACACATCACCGTGAAAGGAGCCTGTTGGTGGGTTAAAGATCCACTTCACATTACGTTGCAAAAGAAATTGATGGACTTTCTCTTGGTTCCAAGCAGCAACAGCAGTGCGGAGTTCCTTCTTGCCACTGACAAAATTTCCACCGTTGTGGTGGAAAAGCGATGAATCGGCGCATAGAATGAAGAAATGAATCGGCGCATAGAATGAAGAAATGAATCGGTATCGAGGCTGTGGGCGACTTCAAGGTGGATTGCTCATATCGTCACACATGTAAATAATACTCTGTATCTTTTTACTAGACTTCTGCCACGTTTTATCACGAAAGGGCCGAAGCAGTCTACTCCCACGAAGGTAAAGGGGGTCGGTCGGGTGTCAGTCTGGAAGGTCGGCCATTTTCTGTTCTCCAACCGGTGCTTGACGCTTGCTACAATCAACGCATTTGTTAAGAACTCTTTGCAATGTGGCTCTTGCTCCAATCAACCAGAACTTTTCACATCAAGGACAGAACATGTTCCAATCCAGAATGTCCAGCAATCAGATGATAATATTGTGCAATCAGAATCGATATGTGATGATTCTTTGGTAGAATACAGGGATGTTTCGTTTCTGATGGAATAGGCGCGTTCCTTAGTCGTCCTCCGACGCGTAACAGATTATCAGATAATTTCGGATCCAATTAATGAATTGGGCTGGATTTCTTGACAGAAGCTATTTTCGCATCGACATCTTCATTGTTGAGGATGGATAGTTCTTCTTGAAAATTGTTGCGCTGGACGTATCTCATAATTTCCCTTTCCGCTTGAATTATTTCATCAACGACTATAGGCTTAATTTCTGATCTTCAACTGGTCTCGATTATTCCATTTCTACGCCTTGTACTAGTTGTGCAATACCGAAGCATCCGAGCTATGAATTTCTTAAGTCGTTCCCACGATGAGAAGCATTTGAAAATTGTTTAAATACTTTATTAGGTAAATATAATAATTATTTACAAAAGACGTACTAATACTATGCATGCAAAGAACAAATATTACCCAAATGGAAGAGGTGCGAACGGAACGTAAATAATTTGCGCTATCCATGCAAGGCACCTTTCCAACAGAATACATGTAGATATAGTTTACTATGTAAATGCTAATAACAAGTTTATACAAGACAATTAACTCCTATGACAAGAACAGTCATGTGACATAGACCAAGTACATAACAAGTTTACATCGAATATGGTCGATACTAACATAGAATAATAATTAAAGAGGTAGTATTTAAATGTTTTGACACTAGAAAAGGTATTTGGTGGAGCTACTTTACAAACACTGTTCCCATAATTTCACGATCCGGTTGAAATATGAGTTCTGATATGTTGTGGTTTTACACAATGGAGTCTTGAGCAACAGGTTGGGATTACGACATAGACGGGAGTGGTTATGGGTTACAAACGAGACATAGTCATGAACATTGAGATTGGAAATACCATAAAGAGCCTTGTAGAAGAACATTAGATCTTTTATCTCTCTATCATAACACAAAGGTAGTAAGTTCAGATCAACGAGACGCTCATTTATTATTTATTTTATTTATTTATTAACTTTGCCGGCATAAAATTACACAGAGTGGCCGGGACACCGCAACAGCTTATTGCCAATTACTGCGGGCCCAATTGGATACAATCAAACAAACAACAGACATTCAACTGGACAGACTAACAAACCTACGAACAAACAATATTAGTTACTAAAAGCAGCAGGATATCGGATATGTAAGACTTCGTACAGAGTTACATTTCAGGCATATAGTTTTAAATGTTCGAGGATTGTCAGGATTATAATTAACTTCTAAAGATTTGTGATAGTATTCCAGTAAGGCTGATATGTAGCTGGAGTCACCCTTTCTAGCTTTCAATATCCATCTAGTGGCACGTCTCTGCACACGCTCTATCTTTGTCTTCTGTGACCAGATGTATGGGGACCAAACTTCACAGGCATAACATAGATTGGATTTTACCAACGAAAGGTACAAAGTACGTCGGACGCTGGCGTCAGTCAGGAATGGGCATGTTCTCTTCAATAGACTGAGCAGCTTGTTGGCTTTAGCTGTGATCTCATGGATATGAGAATCCCATGAAAGGTTTCCAGTCATTGTAACCCCAAGATCTTTCTCTTTTTCAACATGAGTAAGAGTGGTTGAGCCCAGTCGGTGGTATGTGAAGTCCACAGGTTGTTTCTTTCGCGACACAGTCAACACTTTACATTTTAACTCGTTGAACCTCATATTGTTGGTATTGCTCCAGGTGGCTAGGTTTGTCAAGGTTTGTTGTGATTGGCGAGCATCATCTTCGCAAGTAATTTTCCTGAATGTTTTTGTGTCAGCGTACAAAGCAGTTTCTGATTTTTCGAGAATGATGTCGGGTAAATCATTGATGAATAATACAAACAACATTGGACCAAGTATGCTACCTTGTGGTACACCAGATGTTACTGAGGACCAACCTGAAGCAACACCATCAACGACAACTCTTTGGGTCCGACCAGTTAAGTAGTTAGTGAACCAATTTAGCATGTTTGAATGTACACCGAATTGCCTGAGTTTTGCCAAGATTAAACTGTGATCGACAGAGTCAAACGCTTTGGCAAAATCCAAGTAGACAATGTCTGTTTGAATATTACTGTCAAGGTTTTCTCCAATCTTATGCAAAACTTGCAGCAGTTGTGTAGTGCATGATCGATTGCGTAGGAAACCGTGTTGTCCTAAGGAGATAGCGCTAATTATGTGTTCGTATAGTCTCCTACATACGCAACGTTCCAATAGTTTTGCAATGATAGGCAAAAGGGATATCGGTCGGTAGTTCTCTGCTGGTAGTGGGTGTTTCTTGTGAACTGGTGTCACGTTCGCTGATTTCCACTCTACCGGAAGTCGTCCAACACGCAAGGATACGTTAAATAATTCACAGATACTAGGCGCAATGTGCCGACCACATTCTTTTAGTAGACGTGCTGGTATCTTGTCAGGGCCACTCGCTTTGGTGATGTCTAAATTTCTGAGGTAATTTTCCACTTCAACCACATCAATTGTTAATTCACCCAATCCCAACTCAGTTTCAGACACCTCACCATCACAATCCCCAATGTCAGTACTGGATGTTGTAAATACTGAGGAGAAGTAAGAATTCAGAAGGTTGGCTTTTTCTGCAGAAGACTTTGCTGTAATGCTGTTGAAGACAATGTCAGAAGTCTGTTTTGATCTGCTATGCAAAATTGCTTTGTGGTAAGTCCAGAAAAGTTTTGGATTAGTTGCAAATGATGTTTCGATTTTCCTTAGATATTCCCAATGCTTCTTTTTAACCAGCGACTTGACGGCGTCACTTAAGCTTCTTAGCTTTTGTTTTCTTGTTTCACACTTGTTTTGGCGGTATCTTTTTAATGCTGAGTATTTCTTTCGAATGAGATGACGAACTTCTTTATCTACCCAAGGAAGAGAGTTGCTATCCTTTATTGTTTTGGTTGGGATGTGGTTATTTACTGCATCAAGGAACGACTTTTTCCAGCAAGACCAAAGTTTATCGATATCGTTGGTAGTGTTAACATCAAATGTTATCTGACTCAGCGTATTATTGAGACCTTCAAAATCGGCTTCCTTGAAGTTGTAAATCTGACGCACTGCCGACTTGGTTCGTTGAAAGTTCAGTCTGATACTAAAGTCAATAATTTGGTGATCTGTTGGGAAATAACATTGCTCAGGACTTCTGATATTGACCTCATCAATGACTTCTGGACAATTACATAAAAGTAGATCGAGTGTGTTCCCAGCTTTATGTGTAGGACTTTCTATGAATTGGG